ATATCCAAACTTGAAACCAAGGCCAACAAATTCTTACAAAAACATTAGTGATGTTAATAATTAGCCTTGGTAAGAAATTCCATAATCACCCATGTGTGTGATTTTTCTGCTCCCTTGGATCTATAAAGCCACAAGGAGAATGCATCCATTCCGTTATACAAGCCCCCGAAGACTAGCAGATACTGCTTAGTTTTGCACATGGGAGCCTGGACCTCAGCAGTTTCCATGGACTCACTTTATCCTTGTCTAGAGTTAATGAGATCACAATAAAACTAAACATACTACGAACCTGGTGCTTTGCAAAGTATAATGGTGTTTTGCAGAGCCAGAAATAAAATCTTACTTATTGTGTGGTGGGCTGGGTTAGGTAAGAAGTCAGACAATATTGGGTCCATTCTAACTGTGAGCTCAGATATGTCCTTGGAGATTCCTACTTGAAGAAGGATGGTGTCACTGATAGGAGGCAGAAATGGGAGGCATGGACTTAAATCCTTCCTATTCCTAGTTCATCCACGGTAACTACTTTTAGGTTCTGGTTACCATCCTGGAGAGTATAGGCACAGGTCTGACAGTAGAATACTATTTCTGCCTCAAGAAGGGATAAATAGCTGTGTTATCTTGGTCCAGTTACTTAATCTCTCTTTGCCCTGGGCTCCTCACCTGTAAAGTGGGAAAAAACAGAATCTATTTCTTTCGAACATGGAAACCAGTCACAGAAATTAGAAGCTATATATAAGATACAGTGTTTAATAAAATCACAGGTTCTAAAGTTAGATTGCCTGGGTTCAAATCCCAGCTGCACTACTTACTGGCTCAGGCACCTCTTTTAAAAATCAGGTATTAACAGTACCAATCTCAGAGAGTTATTGTTAGGATTAAGTGTGTTGACATGTATATTCTATTAGCGGGGCTGGCACACAGTAAGTACTAGGTAAATGCTTACTACTATTGTTTTCTGGAATACTTCAAATACAGCTTATAAGGATATGGAAATAACAACCTTAACTAACTTCCCATATAATTAATGTTTGTTTCTCTAGTTATATGAAGTATAAAAATAACATAATAGAAATGGTGGGATTTCCTTCATTTTCTTGACCTAGTATTTTGGCAATGTCTCTCATGTAACATTCTCTCTCTCCCTTTTTAAGGTTAAATATTGGCATATCTTTTACCAAATCTTTATTAGGTCCATTTTATCCCCTGATTTACTTAAACTTAATGTCATTTATCTCTCTGTATCAATCCTTTTCTCCCTCTGAATCAAAGTCAGTGATTTTTAAAGCCTGCATACAGAAAAGATTCACACATTGGGAGGATGATAAATGAGCTAAACATTTGTTTGAGACAATCTCTGATTCTGTCTCTTCTCCCCTTGCAGCATTCATTTTAATGTTTTTGCCATTCACTTACTCATTCAGTATTATTGAGTAGACTTGTCAGGCACTATGATAGGCAGTGGAAAATCATGATTCTGACACTTGAATAGTGTTGTAGAGCTTACAGATCGTTTTCACAGAGTATATTAAATTTATTCAGTCCTCAAAGGTGCTCACTTCATTTCACCTGGTTCTTCCCCCCTTTTAATTTTATATTTATCTTAAGCTTCCTCTTTCCTTTCTCAGATCTTTGGTGTGCAGGATATTTGCTAAGTGCTTTGAGGGTGAGGTGGGGGAGAGGTAGAAACGAAGGTAGTAGCTAGGAAAAAGATAAAAATCAGATGAGAATGTAGATCTAGAAATGTTTCCCAGGCCCTACACATTGGGATAAAAGGACAGAGCATGGTCTCTTACTTAGGAGAGTACAAAGCATCACTTGAAAAGAAACAATCACTAGAACCCGGATTGAGACGAGACACAGGGCTAGTGGTTTCCCAAATCCTCCCTCACTCTGACAATTAAGCACATTTATACTGAAGAAGCTAAAGAGTTACCGACATTTCCTTCCCACGAAACACTCAGACTCTTAATTCCCAGCATTAAAGTTCTCCAATTTTATTTCCCCTTGAATTTCATGAGACCAACCAATAGCAAGAGATAGAACATATACAATTAACCAGAAAGTTATTCCTTCAGTCTCACTTCACTTGTTTCATTCATTTATTATGTCTCCCACATAGACTCTAGACTTCTTTAAGGCAACACCAGTGGCTTCCTGCAATAGACCAGCTCTGGCAGATGATATGTTATGTCAAGTGGTGGAGAAGGGAAGTCGTATGTTGCTGTGAGTAGATTCTCCATATCTCACACTTGAGCTTGCCCTGATCTCTTCAAGGGTACTCATGGCAGGCAGATTCACAGGATACAACCAGATGATATGACAGACAAACTTGTGTGAGATGTACTGAGCTCATTCCTAACCCAGACAGCTTTAACTTGCTTTGTCCTCTGCTAGGAATGCTCTTCCTCCAGAACTTCCCATGGCTGTCTCTTTCTTATTACATGGTTCAAACATCACTTTCATGGAGAGGCCTTCCCAGCCAGTCTATATAAAGTAGTATCCCCCACTCAGTTTCTCTATATCATTTTAGTTTTGTTTCTCCATGGTACTTTCTCTACCTGAAATAGACTTATTTATCTACATATTTGTTATCTGTTTTCCTCACAAGGTTGTAAATTCCCAGAGGATAGAGATTATTTTTTAACACAGTGCCTGGAACCAAGTAGTCGGCACTTAATATATGATGGTAGAATAAAAGTATCTGCAATAGATATTTATTAAATATCTATTATATGCCAGTTCTCTTCTAGAAACTGGGGATGTAGTAATGACTCCAGCAGACCCAAATCGCTGGACTCTTGGAGTTTGCATTCTAATACAGGGAAACAGCAAACAAAGCAGCAAAGGGGACACTGAGTGGAACTGTGCCACATTAAATCATGGGATCCAGGGAAGGTCTTGCAGCAGAGACCATACAGTCTTGTCAGCCAAGGAAGGGACTTTGGTTTTAACTCTTTTGAGCAATGGGAAGTCATTGAGGGGCTTAGAGCAGAGTGACATGGTCTGACTTAGGTTGTAATAGGATCCCTCTTTTGTTCTGGTGATAAATGACTCAAGAGGGCAAAGGTGGAAGCAATGAGGAGACCACTATTAACGATCAAGGCAAGAGATGATGCATGGCTTGGCCCAGGGTGGTGGCAGGGAGATGGTGAAATATGTCCATGGTCTGGAAGTGTTTTGAAGGCAGAACTGACTGGGATTTGCTGACAAAATGAAAAAAGTAATGATACAAAAATACGTACAGAATTGCTACAAAGAAGGCTTTTCTGGGATTTATAGAAAAGAGACTTGTTTTGTCAGGCCAGTGACACTGATGTAATGACAGTAGCACCACAGCCTAGAAATTCAACTGGAACTTCGATCTTTAGTGTCATCTATTATTTATCCCAAACAACAAACAAAAAAAGAGTGGTCAAATATATTCAGTATCAAAATCTGAACTTGCAATTAAATGATCTGGTTTGGGGCTGATCTTATTTTCAGTGCGCAGACATAAATGAGATAATTGTGCAGCAGACATAAACATTTCAAAGTAGAAATGACACTTATCCGTGAGGAGACTGTAAAGCTCCAGGGGTACTTACACAAAAGGGTAAACATTATTATCAAGAACAAAGATCTCGCCTGATTTATCCTGACTGACAGTTTGTGCTTCAAACTGATCTGACAACTGCTCAGACTTCTGACCCTTTGCTTACCCAGCTACATGGAAAGCACTTTGGAGTTCATTCAACCTTGCATTTTCCACTACATGGCTGGGGCAAACAGCTGGTGCACAACCTGGTGATATCTTAACATCCTTCACTCCTTTTAGTGTCCTCTTTCTGCAGAGCTCAGGAGCACTTTATTGTTTTATTTACCAAAGCCAGAGATCAGATAATCACTCACAAATAATGACACTTCCGAATGCGTTGGGCGTTGTCAGACAGGGCATGTGGAGGGAGCAATCGGAGGTACTACCCGCCTGGGAAGCCAGGGAGAGGCCTGGGGGAGGAGGAAGTCTCTCTGCAGTAAGGTGAATGTGGAGGAAGCAGGAGTTGGGGCGCCAAGTGCCATCTGGAAAGGGCCTTCAAAGGTACACACACCGAGAGGGACGAGAGGGACCCTGGAAAGGATTGAACGGAATGACCGAGGTGCGCCTGGGTCTTGAGAGATAAATACGCAGGGACTGAAAGGTGGTTTTTCTACATTATGTCAGATGCGCAAACCCTCTTGAGTTTTACGGTGCGATTCGCAGAGGGCTCGAAGAAGCTGGAGGCAGCGTTCCCCCCATCCCGCTGCCTGGCCTCGAAGGCGCCGCCCTCGGGCCACGCGCCGCCAAGTCACTCCTTCAGTTACCCCGAGGCTCCCGTGGCCCTTCAGCTCATTTCCTCCTATTCTGAGGTCTCGCACCTAACGAGTCTGCCTCTTTAGCAGAAAATAAACTATCAGAGTTCTACGTTAGAATACCGCGGTTAGCTTTCTGTTTTTATAGGGCTTTCTGGAGGCTACTCGTTAACGCAACGATTCGGGTTGCCTCCGGGCTGGAGAGGCCCCTTTGTCTCTTCAGAGTTTTGTCTTTCGAAAACTTTGGGCAACACGACGACCGAGTAGGGCAGCGCCCAGCTCCGGAGGCGGCCACGCACTTCCACGCCCCGGCGTGGGGAGCCGCCAATCTACGTCCTGCGGCCAGGGTCCCAGGGCGCCGGCCGTGGTTAGGAGGGGAGGGCGCAGGGCCGGACCCTCCGAAGGAGGCTCCTCTTCCGAGGGGGCCAGGCCCTGGCTGCGCCCGCTTCGGAAGAGGAAGAAAGTGGGGCGGAGGTGGGGGCCCGGGGAGCCAGGTCGCCCGGCGGCGCGCGAGCCGGGGTGGAGCCAGCAGCTGGCGCGGCGTCAGCGTTCAGGATGCGGATCAACCCCGCGCTCCACCGCCGCCCCTCCCGCCCGGGGAGCCGGGCTCGGCAGCCGCCCACGCCTCCCGCGCGCCGCGGCGCCCAAGCGGGCGGCTCTACTTAAGCGGCGCGCCGGCCGCGCTAGGCACTCGCCTGGAGCGCGCGGGCGAGGCGGGCGCAGCGCACCGGGGCTCTCCGGGCCGCAGAGCGGCGCGCTCGCACCGCGGCTCTCGGCGGCGGCCGGGGCGCAGGGCGAGCGAGCGTCCAAGGAAAGGCGGCTGCGTCTTCCGCTCGCGGCCCCGCTCCCTGTCCCCAGCCCGGCGCGGCCACCTCTTTGCCATGGCTCTGGCGGACAGCACACGTGGATTACCCAACGGGGGTGGCGGCGGCGGTGGCAGCGGCTCCTCCTCGTCCTCCGCGGAGCCGCCGCTCTTCCCAGACATTGTGGAGCTGAACGTGGGGGGCCAGGTGTATGTGACCCGGCGCTGCACGGTGGTGTCGGTGCCCGACTCGCTGCTCTGGCGCATGTTCACGCAGCAGCAGCCGCAGGAGCTGGCCCGGGATAGCAAAGGCCGCTTCTTTCTGGACCGAGACGGCTTCCTCTTCCGCTACATCCTGGATTACCTGCGGGACTTGCAGCTCGTGCTGCCCGACTACTTCCCTGAGCGCAGCCGGCTGCAGCGCGAGGCCGAGTACTTCGAGCTGCCTGAGCTCGTGCGCCGCCTCGGGGCGCCCCAGCAGCCCGGCCCGGGGCCGCCGCCGCCGCACTCGCGGCGCGGGGTGCAAAAGGAGGGCTCACTGGGCGATGAGCTGCTGCAGCTGGGCTACGCGGAGCCCGAACAGCAGGAGGGCGCCTCGGCCGGGGCGCCGTCGCCCACGCTGGAGCTGGCCAGCCGCAGCCCGTCCGGGGGCGCGGTGGGCCCGCTGCTCACGCCGTCCCAGTCGTTGGACGGCAGCCGGCGCTCGGGCTACATCACTATCGGCTACCGCGGCTCCTACACTATCGGGCGGGACGCGCAGGCGGACGCCAAGTTCCGGCGAGTGGCACGCATCACGGTGTGCGGCAAGACGTCGCTGGCCAAGGAGGTGTTCGGGGACACCCTGAACGAAAGCCGGGACCCCGACCGGCCTCCGGAGCGCTACACCTCGCGCTATTACCTCAAGTTCAACTTCCTGGAGCAGGCCTTCGACAAGCTGTCCGAGTCGGGCTTCCACATGGTGGCATGCAGTTCCACGGGCACCTGCGCCTTCGCCAGCAGCACTGACCAGAGCGAGGACAAGATCTGGACCAGCTACACCGAGTACGTCTTCTGCAGGGAGTGAGCCCCGCAGACCCCTCAGAGACTCCAGGGCATCCATTCCCCCACCTTCCTGCCTAGGAGAGGATTGTAGATCCACCCCACCCCTGTCTTAACCCCTGCCCTTCATTCTGCTGTGTCCCACCTCCGGTAGCTGGGCGAGACCCACTTACCCCCGACTTCAGAATCTGCAGCCGCAAATCCTCTCGGGTTCTTTTTCTTTTTTGGGCCCCACCAACCGAGAGATCCCAAATATATCCCCTCCACCCCGTGCTTCCTCTGTTCTGACCTCAAACTATCCCTCCCACGAATTGTCCTTCAGTCTGGATCTGGCAGGACAGTGTGGCCACAGAGTCACCAAGTACCTGAGAATGACTGAATTAAAAATCCGATTGGACCCTGTCCAGTGTGTGGAAGATTCCTGGAAATCTTCTTAAGCTCTTCTGATTCGTTTGCGGTTTAAGAAATCAGAATTGTAACACTGCCTGGGATAGTGTTTTAAAAGGCCATTACAGTCTTTTGACCCTCTTTAAAGGTAGGGTTTTAGAGGGCTGGGTGGAAGACTCTGGTCCTGGAATTAGGATCCCTTGAAGGCGGTTCAGTGACTGTAAATGAATAAAGTTTTGAAAAGTTAACGATAGAAGAATGTGGTGCTGACACTATGAAGGATCGGATCTTTTCCACGCAGAATTAAAGGTTTTCGCGTGTGGTTTAAATTTGTAGAAAGCTACCCTCCTGCCTGAGGAGGCACCCTTTCTCCTGGGCTCACCGCTAGAAGCCCTTGCTTAGACTGGTTGACATGACAGCCGTTTTTGGCCAGAGCGGAAAAGAGCGCTGCTGCTCCCAAGGACAAGACAGCCCAGGTCACCTGGCACTGTGGGAGGCCACCTGGCAGTGACTGTAAATGGAGCTCGGTAGTAATGCACGTCGTGGGTATTAGGAAAGCCTGACTTCTTACAGTGAATGGCAGTAGGACCTTAGCTCTTAAGACTTGGGGGATGGGGGGGAGGGAGGAAGTAGGGTAGGAGGGGTGGGAAGGGAGGAGCCGCCATACTCCGTTTATTATTTGAAAGTTAATAACTGTGTATCATCGTTTGAGTACATGCACATTAAAAAAATCGCATATAAAAACATGCAAAGCATTTTATAAAGATTAATAACAGATTTACTCCTAACTGGCAGTATACTGAGCTGTTCGAGTCCTATACGTAGAAGTTGCTGATACTTATATAACCTAACCAAAGAGTTACCCAGTAGGGTTTTAGTTTTCGAACTTTATTTCTTGTTAATTATAAATCCTGATTTTAAAATCTATTTACTTGAGCAAACTATGTTTGATTTTGGTTACTTAGACTTAGGATCTCTTATAAAAATCACTTTCTCCGCCCAGCCAATGTTGACTTCTGGGCAAACCTGGAAAATGCCACGTCTTTTCATGCAGATTGTTTGACATTAAGGTGGAATCTTCTGGAGGGATGGAGCTGCAGATATCTAGAAGCACCAAGGGCTGCTCATCTGTAGATAGCTGTAAAATGTAATATTTTTCAGTGCAAAAAAGTACTTAAAAGTGAGTTGAGCAATAAAATGGTGTTTTAGTTAAATGCAAAAGAAACAGAGGAGACCTGGTTGCCTTATACCTTTACTCTAACATGGAATAAATTCCCACTTGATATCTTATCTACACGTAAGTGAAAGGAAATGCCTCCTTGTCTTTCATGCTGTGAGGCTCCTTTAGATTTCTGTGTTGATGGAGAAGCCTTTCCTTTTTGATTTGTTTCAGCATCTTTCTCTGAAGTAAGTTTTTAAGGATTTTGTAAGAGTTGTTTCCAGTGTTTAAATTAGTGCTATTTTTCCTTCTTTTTAAAAATGAATCTTGTACTGTATCTACTATGTCCATAATAGACGTTAAGAATTGGAACAATTTTATTCTTAGACTCATGTTATCCAATCTGTATATATCATATATAAACATTTTACACGAATCATTTAGTTTTTTAATTCATTTACTAATGCTATAAAATTTCTTGTATTTACCCTCAGTAACTTGCATCAGATGGTGTATATACTAAAGTAACCTGTTTTAATGAGTTTCTTATATCCTTGACTACAGGGAAATTGGGTTAGGAAAAACTACATAATATGAGACTGAGTTTTCTCCATCCTTTTTTGCTTGGTTATTAGTTGTATACTAACAATATGTCAATTGTCCACTTAAAACAAGGTGCCTGTATTGTTAACCTATTAATTCTTTTTAAAATGTTTCTTTACCTGGGAAAGAGTTTTGAAGTTTTTCACTGGGGTTACATTTTTGGAAAAGTAAAGTTAGCTTTATATACAAAGATTATAACGGTAAAGGAAATGAAGTAGAAATCCAGGAAGTTGTGTTTGCTTATATGTTGGGTGTATTCTCAGACTAGATAATGCATCAAAACTTAAATCTGTTTCAATCCTGAAATAATTTAGGAATGTCACTCGCTGGCCAAAAGAGTTTCACAGAGATTTCTCCTTTATTTTGTTAGATTGCTTAACAAAAAGCGTATAACTGAGAATGAGAACATATTAGGACAGATTGAAACCACTGATAGATGGTAAGACTCTTGAGATTCTGACTTGTTAAATCTGTACAACTCCAGGAATCATGGGAACCTGCTAAAATCTGTCTCTGCCACTCATGTCTTAAATGAGTTTTATCTTGTAAAACTTTGAATTGGAACTATTCCGCTTCTTTGTGTGTACATCTTACTCCTCCACACACTCTTGCTGCCCTGTTGATTCTCTACCCCTTTCATTATTTGACAGACTGGAAATTTAATGGTTAGAGACAGTAAACTGCCCCCTTTTTTTTAGGGATGACTGTCCCCTCTACAGTTGGCAGTCAGTACATGAAAATATTCTACTTTTAGCCCAAAGTAAAGGTTGGGTAGGAAACTCATTTTACATTGGGTACACAGCATAACTGAGGTTAGGTGACCTGGCCTGGGCACTTTTGGGTCCCTTCTCCACGTGCTTTGGGCCACGGAAGGATCTTTAACAGTTTACAAAGTGGGCTGGACTGTTGGTTGTCATCTGTGAACTTGATGGCATATTGTGGGTTCATTTGAGTAAACCTTCCAAAGACACCATTGGAATAACCTGGAAAGATGTCAGAAATTATTCAGATATAATTATGACCGCATTAACTTGACTCTCTAGCATGCATTTACATATGTAATGGCTTGATTACCATTTGGTTCATAAATGAGTGGCACAACTGAGTGGCATTAGATTTTAATAACAAGTTTAATTTTTAAGAAAGAATTGTTGAAAAAACAGGTACTGTGTTCAGTGCTTTTACACCAAGTGTTTGACAAGTTGTCTGATTTTTAATATGTGTAGACAACTATATTCTAATTTTTCAAATTATATGTTGTGGAAAATATTCCTTGAAGGTTTGAGACGTAAACATTTTTTTCCCCTTTCAATACTGCTTTCATTCTTGTGTTTATTAATTTGATTTTTGGCATTGATAGCAAAGTAGTAATTTGTGATACTAGCCAAAATTACCTTCTCTTTCAAACCAGATCTATATAGTCATGGGGCCTGTTGCTTCTCTGAGGAAATGCATAATCTGTGAGACTCAGACAAAATGGGCAACTGGCAATGTTCATAGCAGACTCCCAATTTTTATTGGAATTTTCCATGCAATGTTATTATTACATTGAAGCCATGTAAGGTGAAGCTGTGATAATTTTTTACATTTTAAATTATGGTAAATTCTAATCTAATATTTAAAACATTTTTGTATGCCACAGGAAAAATGCTCAATTAGAGTGAAGGCGTTTAGAAAAGTATTGACTGGAGGGGATGAATTCTTTAATTTCTTTTATAGTCTGAATCATAAATACTTTACTAAATGGACTTAAATTTCTAAAATAGTAAATAATATTTTTATTATAACCCTACCGGAGTAAATCCTTTGAAATTTTTTTTCCTTACTATATAACTCATTTAAAAACTAAATTAGTTTTCTTAGGTGACCTAAAACTGTCTCTTGAGAAGTAAATAAAATACTCTTGTGTTTCCAGTGGCTATAGTAACTGAGATAGGGTTACCTAGACCCAGAAACAAGTTACGTTGAAGTTAGTACCTTTTCTTTGTCACAGTTTTGGACAATAAAAATCCAAAAGCCTGAAGATTAAGATTCTCTGCTGGGACTCTGGAAACTTAGAAGAAATTCAACCAGAATATCTACATTAGAATATAATCTTGTGTGGTATAGAAAGGTGGACTAGTAACCAAGAATTCTTGTCACCTGAAGCATTTTATGATTTCCCTAGCTAAATTTTTTTTAAAAAATGTGTTTTGAAGTATGTGAACATCAATTGTAATGTAAACTATTATACAACTGTCTTTGTGACCTCATAGGCAGGTGAATTTTGCTATTACTATTGAATATAAATGATGACAATTCATTTATGACCAGTCAAACAACATTAGTGACATTTAATGACAAAAGGTTAAAATGTCCATCTGGATCTTAATTTTGAAGATGTAGATTATATGTTATCTACATTTTTCAGGGCATCTGAAAAACTCTTATCTGCTAAGTAATGTAAGATACCCATGGAGCTATCTGGGATTATGAAATTGTTGAAAATATTATATGCAAAGTATAACACAGCATTGAGACATTTTTTTCAAAATAGAAGGGGAAAGGGAAAAAAATCATTATATGATTATCAGACTTTTCTAGTGAAACAGAAAGCCAAAAGAAAAAAAAAAACCGTCCTGCTATATTAAAAAAAAGATTTTGGCTGATGAAGTCTTTTCAGACTTGCCCAAGTTTTAAGTGAGAATTAATTTCTTCAACCACCTAAATACTCTAGAGATTTTTATTCCCCCTGCTCACAACCAGTTGTATAACAGAAATACTCGATACTGTTTTCCTCCCTGTGTGTGAAGTAATGAATCATTGATTATGTGACTTGTTATATATTCTATTAAACACTAAAGAATAAAACATTCACTCCTTTAATTATTCCTCTTGGCTCCTGGGTATGGATTGGCTCGAACACTGGTCTGATTTCCTTTAAGGGGTTCTGTAAATACTGGGAATGCTTCTCAAATTGTGTGGGGCAAATGGTGAGCACTGTGCCATTAGAACCCACTGTGTGACTGGCTGGATGGACCCGCAGTGACCAGGCTCTTTCCCCAGAGTGTATTTTTAACAATGCCTATTCGTCAGGGTTGTGTGGTCCTCAGTGTGGAGGCAAAGACCTTCACAAACATTTTCTTGGACCTCATCTTTGCTACATATGTGGATTGTTTTGAACATGGGGAAGAAGGTAGAGATGACCTGTCAAAGTTTGTAGGGAAAAGGAAATAGAAGCTGCGAGATAGGCCTTCTTTAAAAGTACAAATCATGGAGATAAAATCCTGAAGAGTGTTGGGAAAAGATACACTGTTTTTTACTTCCCTGAGTCACCTCCTGCTGTTGATGTTGCTTCTCTAAGAAGAAAGCACAGCGCCTCCCAGGCTGAGCAGGCTGGGCTGCTGGGTTAGGGCACAGGAAGCCAGGAGTCAGGCAGACCAAGGCCGGCTTCGCCCTTCCTCTTGCGTTTGCCCGTACTTCCTCTAGATACCTTTTGTTTTGTGTGGGCATGTACACAATTTAGTTTTTGAAAAGTTTATGTGGAGAAATTAAGGAATACCAGAGTATATATAATAAAAAGTAAACCTTCCTCCTCCAGGAACCCCTAGTTTTTTCCACGGTAGCCATTGGTATACTTTTACAGAGAATTTCTATGCATATATAAATAAATATAGTCCTCCCTGTTTTCTATTTAGTCGGAAACAGACCTGTTCTATGCCTTGCTCTGTTTCAGCCATGTATCCTACAACCCTTTCAATGCATGAGTGAACAGGTAGCAATGATCTACCTCATGTATTTGATAGCTACATGCTATTAGCAGGATAGGCCATTGTCTAGATGTGCTGTCATTTATTTTACCAGTCCTTTCTTTATGGGCATTTAAATTTCCATGCTTTTTGTTTCTACTCCCAAAAGTGCTGTATTGGATATCTTTTCTCATATATGCAAATATATGTAAGTGTTTTTGCCAAGTGATAGCAAAGAGATAAAATCACGTAGAGGTACTTTTTTCTTCTTTAGAGGCTATGCAAATAATAGGATTCACTGAGAGCTGTCAAGGGAGTGGGGATGGTGTAGTATGAAACCACTCCAGGATCATTAGGTAGACAAGTTTCACGTGGCTTTCTTATTGAGGACAACATTCACTCTCTTTCCCCCTTTCTATTTCTGAAGGTTATTCTTCCATTTTTAATTCTAGGGATTTTTTTTTTTCATAAACAGTGGCCAACACTTGGTTTGTAGGAATGTAGCATAGGAAAAGGAGCCATAACATAGCTCCCCCAATGAGGCCCTTTGCGGGAGTTGGGAAAGGATGGGAAGCTAGAGAATAAATACAGGCCACCTTCCTAGAATATCAGTTTGACTAATGGAGATAAATGTATGTGAGTTGGGGAATTAAGTCATTTAACTGGAAAGTGATTTACCAAGATCTGTTTTATTTTATGGAAAGAATGACAAGTTTATATTAATTTAAAAGACAAAACCCTAAACATTAAAGATACTCTGATCTTGTAGAATCTTAGGGATGAGTTCACCCTTTTCTGTCATTAAGAACTTGGTGGGAGAGGTGGTGATGGTGGGGTTGAGAGCATCTAATGGTAGACTCTGGGCTTGTTTCTTGATGGATAGTTGGGGGGAAATGATAGTCTCAAATTCTCTGCATTATTCTGGTCACATAAGCAGTTTCAAGGTCACTGCCCCTTTGGGGCCTGAATTGTACCTCTCTTTCCACTTACAGATCTCTTAAGAGTGACCTATGGGGCTAAGAAGAAAGGTTTTCATGGTCACTTTAGGATGTTAACTATTAACTTGGCTATTGCAATTTTCCTCCAGGTATGGCCATTGAGTATTCATTCACTCATTGATTCAAAATCCCTTGAGTACCTACTGTGCCCCAGACTGTGCCAATCTGATAGGGACACAGGAAATGAGCAAGCACTGAGGACTAGTAAGGGAGTTAAATAATGATAACTTGAAATAACTTGAAGGTGCAGTGCTAAGATAGTCTGAATAATTACTGTAGAAAGAAGGAGGCACCTAACTCATGCCTCAGGCTCCCTGGAGGAGGAGATGCCAGAACTGAGGCTTAAAGGTACATAAGAGGAAGGGAAGGGGCCTTGTAAACACGGGCCAGCTTAGTGAGGGAAAACCTGGAGAAACCAGAACCTCATGGAAACAAACAAGTGCCTCCCTGCCCCCCGAAAAAAAGACCAACTCAAAAAACCAACCATCTGACCAACCTAATTTATGTTGTGGTCTTCACCTTTGCTCAACCATGACATTTATTTACCCATATATAAGAGGGGAAAAACATTTATTTCTTTATATTTGCCTCTGGGCTCAACACAGTGTCTACTACATAATAGATCATTAATAAAAGTTTGTTGAATAAAAGAATGAATGTTCATGTCAATTCATTCTTTTTTATGTATTAGGGAGAAAAACAGCTAACTTAAAATTTATCCTTTGCTTTTTTGGATAACACTACTGAGGATCAATAATCCCTCTTTATAACTGTTAATTTTATAAATAAATATATAAAAATGACTATCCTTCTTTCTGACTTGAAAATCACAGAGATTACAATAAGAACAACTGGGTGTTTTTTTCTGAATGGTTATTAGGTGGCAGCTGTTCCCAATCCAAAACGCTTGGCAATATTTCCACTACATGATGGAAGTCAAGTTCACTGACAGCTATATTATAGGCTTTCCTCTGGGGCTATTACTTGGTACAAAGTTTTGAAAATCTTAACTGGAAAGTTTCGAGAGGTGCCTTTTAAGAGTTCTAAGAAAGGAATTTGACCTCCCCTAAACGCTGGAGTATACAATTCCAAATGTTCTTCTGCTAAGTTGTGGGTTTTTAAAATGACAGCTGCAAGGACTTTAAAAAAATAAATGATCTGTGCAGCGACCCTTTGACCTTACAATACAGGCATATTCTTTTTTTCTCTCTGCTCAGAGCCCATGTGTTCAAAGTTTAAGTTCTTTCCATGAGCTAATGCCAGAAACACAGCTATTAGGGCAAAGTTTTGCTGCTAGACTGGGAGTGTTACTTTTAAAATTCAAGTAAGAAACAACAATGCTATAAACTGAGCGTTTCTATCCCCCTCAAATGCATGTGTTGAAATCCTAACCTTCAGTGTGATGGTATTTAGAGGTTGGGGCTTAAGGAAGTAATTAGGTCATAAGGGTGAAACCTTCAAAAAATGGAATTAGTGCCTTAGTGCTTTATAAGAAAAACACCCAAATAGCAACCTTGTCTCTTCTTTTGTGAGGACACAAAGAGAAGCTGGCTTTCTATGAACAGGAAAGTGGACTTTCCTGAGACACCAAATCTGCCAGTGCCTTGATCTTGGACTTCCAGCCTCTAGAACTGTAAGAAATAAATGTTTGTTGTTTAAGCCACCCAATCTATGATATTTTTGTTAGAGCAGCCAAAAATATAACAAACAAGAGTGACTCTTCATTATATTTTTGCTGCATTTCTCCTCTGTGATGTACAGACTCCCTCCAGTGTCTTAGAAGAATTCTAAAAAAGTTTCATGTTAATATTGATCATCATGTAGTTTAAGTCTAGGTTTGAGTCACTTTGGGGGTAAGTAAAGCAAATCAGTACTTTTGTTTTAATTTCTGGATCCAGCAGGTGAAGAGTCTTTCAGGCTTGGATCCTTTGACATTTGTCTTTGACCCACTCGACTTTATGGAGCTAGACACAATTGATAAATCTACCAGTGACTTCCCAGGTAAGGGGATAATATTAACCTTCATTTAGCTACAGGAGATTAACCAGAGATGATTATTAGTCAAGAAAAAGCAGAGAGAAGGGAGTCACCTTCTCTTAAAAAAAGGTTGAAGTTAAAATTGCCACACATCGTAGTGAAGAGCTATGGGAAACTCACTCCTCTAATTGTGACATGCCATGTCCTTATAGGGAAATTTTAAAGTGAAGACTAGAGTTCTATGAGGACTGTTGTTGGTGGTTCTGGAAGGACACTGACTTGGAGATAAGTGCTATAATTATTACCACCATCCATTTCGGTCTTTCTTTCTCAGAAAATGAGTGTCTGCAGTTCTAGTACAAAAAACAATGTAGAAATGTTTTCCTCAATCCAAAGTTTGGAGGTTTGTGATAGTTGAATAAGTATTTTATGTTCTGAAGAAGTTTCTGTAGTCTTTATGAGAGTTGTATAGTTAAAATAAACCTTATTAATTAACCTAGGACTATGGCAAGCAAAAATAAAACTTTATTAATAAAGCTTTATGGAACTTCTGTCTTCTTAGTAGTTTGTATCTATTAAACTAAAAATGGTTTAGTCTAAAAGATGAAGGCTTAAAAAATAAATAAACATGCCTTTGTCTTAATGCCCTTTAACCAATGTCCATCAGGTTGTTAAGTGAAGTGAAATAAACTATATTTGTTAAAAATAACTTTTGAATTTTGCAGATGCAAAAACATTCCTGTCTAGTCAACAACCCTGTACTCCTTGTACTGTTAGAAGCAACCAGAAGCTCTTTGCACATGTTAAGTTCCGCTGGGCTGTTGAAAAGGAAATGGTGAAAGGACTGGGTTAGTCAGACATTAATAGTGGGAATTTATGAAGTATGACTATGAAAAGACAAGAAATATTTTTTTATATAAGAAAGTCAAAATAATAACCTATTTAATTCTGTCCTTCAAAATGATCATTTTGGTAGACTTTACATTTATTTCAGTAAAAGCTACAGGAAATCAACTTAAAATGATACCAGGTTACTAGCAGGGGGTAGGGGAGGGACTATCTGTTAAAAATTGCTGTTGTTGGAGAAGAAGAAAAAGTTCTGGGGATGGGTGGTGGTGATGGCTGCCCAGTGATGTGAATGCACTTAATGCCACAGAACTGTACACT